GGAAACATAGCTAATGACGTCAAAACAGAAGAATTTCACATATACAGTATACAATGTTTTCAAAACGATTTGCATTTATACATATCTAAAGAAACTGATGCTGTAATACATATTTAGGCCAGTAGTTGGTGCTGTCTTGATAGTAAATTCTACCTATAGGGAAGTTTGTATAAAGCTGCTTTTCCACTATTTTCCCAATAGCCTAGTGTTTAAATGCGCCGACAAGACCGTACAGATCAGAGTTCAATTCCTGACTCAAAGTCCTTTACCAATTATTCCCCTTTATCTGCTCCCCACCCATTCCAGTCTGAACTCTTCTCTATCCTATCCAATAAAAATACAAAATAACCCTAAAAATCAATTATTAAAAAATGTATTCCAGTTGTATAGCCTTAAACGATGCGGCACAATTACAAACCATACTGAACTCAAAGTTCTAGACACACACTCTATGCGAAATGGCCCCCTATACCCTCATTTATTATTCCCTACAATAGTCCACCAACATAGTCCACCTGAAGGAGTGGATGAAAACAAGTGAATGAGAGCGCTCAGAACAACAAAAGCATGCCGCTTTGTTTGTGCTTTGATTATGGTTGATAAATCTCTCTGATTACACTGATTAGATTTCGAACTTCTAGGTCAGAACCTGTAATATTATTTAACACTAAGCGAACTGTCTATTAGTAATCAAACAGCGTATTTCGATTTTTATCATGAATACAGATATAATTAAATACTAATTTATTTAAAAACTTACACCAATAGGATTATGCCGTGGATGCTATCTTGTGGTTAGACAACAAAATATATTCATTCGGCACATAAATTCTCACAGTGCATTTTGGGTATTTTCTAGCTGTTGAATTGGGATTAGTTGAGGGGTCTTCAGAACACCCCTAGAAAGGGCTGTTCCCTCAAACAGTGCACTGTTTAATGGTATAGAGAAGTGTTTTTGGATACAACCATGGTTAGAAATCGGGTTAGACGTGTGAAGCTGCGTTTCCATCCACCTATTTTTATGCGCATATTGAAATATCACATAAAAAACCTCGATGGAAATGCCAGGATGTTAACAAATTTTGAAAATGTGCATAAAAAACTGTTAGTCGGATAAACAGTGGCGCAGTAGGAAGTGCTGTCGCCTCACAGCAAGAAGGTCGCTGGGTCAAACCTCGGCTCTGTTGGCGTTTCTGTGTTGAGTTTGCATGTTTTCCCTGCCTTCGCATAGGTTTCCTCCGGGTGTTCCGGTTTCCCCCACAGTCCAAAGACATGCGGTACAGGTGAACTGGGTAGGCTAAATTGTCCGTAGTGTATGAGTGTGTGGGCAAATGTGTGTGTGGATGTTTCCCAGAGATGGGTTGCTGCTGGAAGGGCATCCGCTGCATAAAAACTTGCTGGATAAGTTGCCGGTTCATTCCGCTGTAGCGACCCCGGATTAATAAAGGGACTAAGCAGACAAGAAAATGAATGAATTTGGCACCTGTTTATTAGGACGTTTTATTTGATATATTCCAGTTTTGTACATACATTCAATTTGCATCTTTGGATGAAAACATGGCTATAGTTTACATCACACTTGCATTACCAAGACCAATGACTGACGCATTTGTTTTAGGTTTCAGAGAGCTTCATTATCAGCTCCACAGAGGAAAATTTTTGACTGTCCCGAATCTGCATGGAATGTAACAGTTAAGGAAAGCGAATTATTCAGTAGCCATGGGACGATAACAGTGTGCAAGGTATACTGCGACTTGGAAAACTCAAGGTTTTAAAATCATCAAAATTTTCTGCTATACCGTTCCTAAGGTACGAGTAAGATTTTTTGATTTCCATTTTTTTGTTTTTTTAGGACAACAGTATCTCCAGCAGAAAAGATATCCAAATATGCTGTTTTAAATCAGTGTTTTTGAAAATAGCGAAGGCAGCAGAAGTCAATAATTCATTTAAATATTTAGCCTGACATGTTTATGGTTCCAAAATACTTTAAACATTTCCCAAAATAAAATATATTGTGTACAAAGGGGAAAATGTTTTGGTTTTTACCCAGACATTTAAAAAGAATATATGTTAGAGCAGCAATCAAAACACCATGAAATACCGATATTTATATCCAAGGTTATCATACTGTCAGAATCTTATACCGGCCCATGCATGCCTACTATTCAGCCTAATAAATAAACACTTTGCTGAAACAAAACTCTTGAGCAGCACCATCACCATGTACTCTGTTATTGTTGTGTTTATTTAAAACTGACACATACTGCACATGTCCACAGACCTTACACTTAGTACGTGCATGACAACAACATTTTCAAAGATTCCTGTTTTGGGTGTTTGCATGGAAATGATAATGGCAATGTTTTCAAACTGTTGCACTTTGAAACCAGTTCTCAAAATTAAGCATTTTCAGTCCCCAAAACGTCACATAAAATCTGTGTAAACGGCTCCTTATTGACTATGTGGAATATTCATTCATTCATTACATCTGGAGTCGGCACAGTAAAATAAACCGCCAACTTATCCAGCATGTTTTACAAAGCAGGCGCCCTTTCAGCTGTAACCCATCTCTGGGAAACACCTATACACTCCCATTCACACACATACACTGTGTACAATTTAGCTTACCAAATTCACCTAGTGCATGTCTTTGGAAACTCTTTGTCTTTGAGGGGGAAACCGTGAGCACGTGGAGGAAACCCACGCGAACATTGGGAGAACATGCAAACTCCACACAGATATACCAACTGATACAGCCAAGGCTCGAACCAGCGACCTTCTTGCTGTGAGGCTACCGACCGCGCCACCCCTATGTGGAATATTTGTAGCATATTTGTAAAAAAATTATAATAATTTTAATCTCATTTCATTTGTCATATTTGGTGCAGGAATTACAAAATGCATATCTTCTTGATGATGGCCAAGTGGAGCCAATTTTTTTTCACTGTGGCAATATTTTTAACTGGGGTCCACAAACTCTCTCACACGATTTTAAATAAAATGCATTAGTAGAAACAGATAAATTAAAATTGTTATTAAATTAAAATTATTTTATATTATAGCAGAATATTGGTTAAAAAAAAAACATACTATATACTGTTCACTGGTCATTTTGTGCATTTTAGACCGCAACCAGTGATTTACGAACACAAAACCTCAATTCAATGTTATGCAAAATTAAACATTTTGAATAAAAAAAAGGTTAAAAGGTAAAAGAGCTGTAAAATATTAATATAGAAAGTTTCCTCATATTAATGCAGCATACATGGGCCCTGTTATCATGGATATTTTAGAGAGCTTTTCAAAGCAGTTTAATATATTCATTTATTCATTCATTTTCGGCTTAGTCCCTTTATTCATCTCCGATCGCCACAGCGGAATGAACCGCCAACTTATCCAGCATATGTTTTACGAAACGGATACCCTTTCAGCTGCAACCCTTTACTGGGAAACATCCATATACATAGTGAGAACATGCAAACTCCACACAGAAATGCCAACTGACCCACCCGGGGTTCGAACCAGCAAACTTCTTGCTGTGAGGCGACTGTGCTACCCACTGCGCCACAGTGCTGCCCCAGTTTTATATAATTTTTATGATATTTTGTGCTGCTTTGCTTTGAAATGTTATGCTTTAATATGTTTATATTTACTATATAACTGTATCTATTAGTCCTACAGAAATAAATACCAATACCAATTAAGTTATTTTTCATTGTTTATATTGAACTTAACAGCTAAATTGTTACAATAAAATACTCTGGGCATATTATTTCTATATTTCGTGCTGTATTCATTCATTCATTTTCTTTCCGGCTTAGTCCCTTTATTCATAAGGGGTCGCCACAGCGTAATGAACCGCCAACTTATCCAGCATATATTTTACGCAGCGGATGCCCTTCCAGCTGCAACCCATGACTGGGAAACATCCATACATACTCATTTACATACATACACTACGGACAGTTTTAGCTTACCCAATTCAAGTATAGCGCAGGTTTTTGTACTTGTGGGGTAAACTGTAGCAATATGTGCTTTAGTTAGGCGAAAAATAAAACAAAGAATTTTAAAAGCCATCTTTTTAAAACTATGGTTAATAAGTCTCACACTCTGGAAATCCCTTTTTTTACGATAGCCATCAAATGTGGTTTTCAAACCTTTTCATTTTCAAGGACCCTCAAATGCATGCGAAGATCTGGACCCCTTCCTAAAAACCATGTTTACAGCTAAACTGTTCATGAAGATATACAGCTCCAATGTTCAGCTTAAAACCTTTACAGTTTTGGAAGGGCTTCAGAAGTTCTCGTATATGAGATTCCTGGGAAATTAAAAAGTTTGGAAACCCTGGTCGAGACTGGCCAATGTGGTCGTAAAAACACATGCAGCGGCCCCTACTTTATGACCAGAATCAATTCATATTAAGCTGCTTGCTTGTTTATTTAATATTCATGTCAACTGTGACTAGAAAACAACCATCATGCCACATGGGTCTGTCATATAACATTAGTTAGCTTGAGAGGAGCAAAACTTTACGACTAAACGTATTACTTGGAAAATACACAACAAACACGAGAGCCAGAGAAATATGCCAACGCTTTACATCAAATACCCGCTTCACTTACACTGATTTACGTGCCCTATATATTCACAAAGGCGGTGGCCGTGTTATGAACAGTTCACTGGAATGGAGAATGGAAACATAATATGAGAGAGAGAGGGCGAGAGAGAGCGAGAGCGAAAGAGAGAGAGAGAGGGAGAGAGAGACTTTAAATTCCCAAAGACACATCACCCTTCGTTCACCCCAAAAGCCACGTATTTAAAAATGTGTAACAATGTCTCATAACACACATTCCTGTCCTCATCCAAGGTCACCGCTCTGTCCGGTTCTACAAACGTCAACACACGCGCACACTTAAATCTGATACATGAATCGAGCGCGCTGACCCGTTCATCTCTCCGTCTGTCGTGCACTTTCTCCGGGCAAACGGGCAGCTACTCACCCTCCGACAGCTCCAGCTCGAGCTCCGCCAGCCGCGCGCGCACCTCCAACGGCAGCGGTAACGAATCACGGTCTGCCATTGCGACTCCAACACATCCGAGCCTCGGCGCGTCTCCGTTTCTCCCGAGCACACGGTGTCAAACGTGTGTTTCACGGTGCAAAAATAGACCTCATGAGTGTGAGCGGGGACAGGCAGCGAGCAGTCGCGTTACTGCAGACGCGTCATCACCGGTCGGGGTTTAGTCGGTTTACGGTTTCTCCTTCAGATCTTGGATTGTAGTGGTGCACAGGAGCGAAGCTGCCCGTGTATCCACTGCGGTGCCACCGTCACCGTGCCCGCTGCTGCTGCTGCTGCCGTCGCGCTCACGTGACCTCGGTGCTCGTTCAAACGCAGATAGAGCTACAGTGCGCGCGCGCGCCCGCCCGCTCTAACGGAAAACGGCAGCTGTGTGAAAATATACAAAGCTACAGCGCCGTCATACATCAACCGGGTGATAGCAGACCCTCTAAATAATTATACGTAAATAATATAAGAATATTCTAATTTAAGGAGACTATGCGGTGAAAGTGAATAAAATGCATTAGAAATTAAAAATGTGTGTGTGTGTGTATAGGCCTATATATATATATATATATATATATATATATATATATATATATATATATATATATATATATATATATATATATATATATATCCTCGGTGTGTATATTTTCTTTTTTATCTAAACAAAACGAATTATTTGGTTATTGTGTTAATATTTGTAAATGTATTATTATTATTAAGACTAATATGCTAAAATATTCCTTGTCAAGTTTTTTGAAGTATTTTATTACATAAATGAAGAACATTGAGATGATGATGCCTCCTGCTGGTGCACGCAGTTATGACAGCAGAAGTCAAATCAAGGACGGTTCATAACCAAAATCCATCTTTAAAGGCCTATCAACTTGAAAAATATTGATGAAGACGAAGTGTCTCAATTATTTATGCGTTGATCTATAAACTCATTTTATTGCAAAGATGGTCATACATATTCATCCAGATTGAGGGTTGTTTCCCACCTTTTTTGAGTCCATACACTCTGATAAAATCTGGCTTATTGTAACACAAATTTGGGTTAAATATGGACAAACCCAAACCCAAAGAGTTAATTTGTTTAAATTTAATTTAATTACTTTTTGACCCAATAGTTGGGCTTGTCTATACTTGACCCAATGCAATGACAAATGTTTGGTATGTTTGTGCATTTTAATTGGGTTTTTAGTTCATTGTTCTATGTTTGGCTGTTGTGTCTTGCCTTGTGTGTGCTAGCTTAGTTAGCAAACAAAGCAAGTAACTTTTAATTAACTGTTTTTTTCATGTATGCTCTATTAACAAACTTTAGCTAGTACAAAATGCAGCTGCCAGAGTTCTTACCAGGTCTAGAAAATATTATTTTATCACCCCAATTGTATCCTCCTTACTGGCTGCCTGTTAAGTTTTGTATTAATTTTAAAATATTACTTTTTACCTATAAAGCTCTAAATAATCTAGCTCCCGTTTATCTAACCAACCTTCTGTCTTGCTACAATTCAACCCGCTCTTTAAGATATCAAAACTCAGGGATTTTGGTAGGACCTAGAAGTCAAGTAAAGGAGGTTGAGACTTCTCATTTATGGCTCCTAATCTCTGGAATAGCCTACCTGATAATGTCCGAGGCTCAGACACACTCTCACAGTTCAAAATAGATTAAAGACCTATCTTTTTAGGAAAGCGTACACTCAATGCATCACACAGCGGTATGATGCATGAATGTGCTCCACACATCTTGTTTAAATACACTTTGAACAGCAGCTATGCTAATTATTCTCTTTATTCTCTATTTCCACTTGGGGATACTCGTCCCGAGGCCCTCAGAGATGCAGTGCCACTGAAGCGATTCAAGATCTGTGAAGAGATGATCCCAAGGTTTCCACAATCCCGGACCAGGGCGTATAGCAGCTGCTGTGTTGGTCATGGAGGAGTAGAGAGCGTTCATCTGATTTCTGTGAAACTCCAGGGACAAACGAGTCTTTGCTGAGGTCCAACATTCTCCAGCCTCCGGCACCTAGACTGCAGCTCTGCACAATATGAGAAATGCCCTATAGGAGAAATGGTCGTGCCTAACTGAGCCTATAGTTTCTCTCGAGGTTTTTTTCCTTCACTTTCGCCAATTGGTGAGTTTTTTCCTCGCCGCTGTTGCCACTGGCTTGCATAGTTCGGGACTTGTGGAGCTGCGCATCGATGGATTGCTCTTCATTGTTTAGACTTTCAGCAGTGAAATTAAACCACACTGACCTGAACTAAACTGAACTGAACTGAACTTAAACTCTGAAAACTGAACGGATACTGTTTTAATTCACTGTAATCTTATGTGACGCTGCTTTGACACAACCTACATTAAGAGTGCTATACAAATAAAGATTAATTGAACTGAATAAATAGTCATTACCTGAAAACCTTGAAAACTTTTTTCCACCTTTTCCAGATCCATGGATAGCAATTATTACACATTAAAAACGAGTCACTTCATTTGGCGAAGAGAAACACTAAACAAGACACTTTTAAGTAAACATTTTATACTGGTTTTGAAGTGAATTTGCATACTGTACGTGTTCTTTTGCTTTGTAATGTTATTCTAAAAATAAACATCTATTTAAAACACAGCTGATTTCTTTCCTTTAAGGCATACAGCAGATTAAGACAGTCTAATAAATAGTCGCTTTAGCCCATAAAAAAATATCCAGGCAGGAGTTGATTTATTACTTGTGGTTAGCAAGTCATGCACTTGGCCTACCTAATGCCCTTGTAAGAAAACACACAACATAAAAACCAACAGCCGAGAACCAGACAGTAAAAACCACCTTAAAGACACCATAAAACAGAGCGCACATATGTGCAGAGTTCAGAGGAGAGCTAAAATTAAACCTCTGAGAGCTTGTTTGATCACTCTTCATTTATTTTGGTACAGATGCTACAGTTTTTAAGAGGAATATTGAAAGCACAACAGAGCCGACCAGTTAATATGAGACACTATACGCAGTGTATTTTCTCAATTATGTAGTGATGAAAAGAGAAATCAAAGTATTAATTCTGTAAAACTTGGAAAAAGAATTTTGAAGCAGACTTTCAAACAGATCTCGCCACCTATTTACTCCCATAGTATTTATTTTTTAATAAATAACTATGTCAGTTAATGAGTGGCAAGATCTATTTGATTATAACTTTCTTCCTGTCTTTGAACATGCTCAAAACAGAGAAGATGATAGTGGACTTCAGGAGAAACCACCCTGCTTTCCCCCACTGAGCATCATGGACAGCATTGTGGGACACTTACATTGACTCCATTGTCAAAAAAAAACCCGACAAAGGTTGTACTTCCTTCGTCAGCTGAGGAAGTTCAACCTTCCAAAGGTGCAGTTGAAACAATTCTACAATTCCATCATTGAATCAGTTCACTGCACGTCAATAGCTGTCTGGTTTAGCTCAGCTACCAAATTGGACTTTTGAAGACTACTTCAAATAGTTCTGACCACTGAGCGATTCATTGGTACAACCCTCCCTACTCTCCAAGAACTGTACTTATTCAGAGCGAGTAGAAGGGCTGCCAAAATCTCTCTGGATCCCTCACACCCAGCACACTGCCTCTTTGAACTTTTACCTTCTGGTCGACGCTACAGAGCACTGTGCACAAGATCAGCCCTACACAGAAACGGTTTCTTCCCTCAGGCATCCATCTCATGAACACTTGATGATAATAATTATGAAAAAAACATTACTACTTGCTATATACTTTTTATACACATATACACCTATTAAACAACACACATGCCAATTTGCCCATGACAGCTGCACATAAAACGTTTATTTTGAATTATGTAAACAAAGAAAAAACATGCCATAGTAGACGATCAACATATCCTCCTGAGACCCCGCACATTGACTTGTGTCCTCTGTAGTGAACATTGCGTTTTCATGAATTTTCTTTGAATTTTTTGAACTACTCTGTCAAGTCCTGTTGTACTATTCAGAGGACATCCTGACCTTTCTAGTCATTTCATTTGATTGGCTGACATGCTAGGAACCACTTTTTACACTGCATCCAAAATGGCCCCGACATACAAAAAAGCACAATTTATGACAAGGAGAGAGGCATGTAAAATTAAGCTTTTTAAATGTTTTTTACTCTTATTATTATTATTACATATATATTTGATAATTAAAGTGTCAGGAACAAAACATTTAGCTTTCAAAGCTGTTAGCTTGTTTGTGTTTCAAAATACCATTCTTTATTAAATGTCCTTTATAGTGGACACCAGTACCATCTTAATGTAATTAATGACTGCATTTTGTAGGGGGCAGAACTGAAGCAGTGAGGATTCTTTATAAGATAATTAAGGGAGACTCTGATTTAGAGTCTGACTATAAGATAATTCGAGAATTAGAGACAATTAGAGAATGACAATCAGTTTTAAATCACTTTTATGTTAAATTTAAACTTGTTCGGCTCTTTTTCAGACTAAACTGTTTCAGGAATTTCAATACAAAAGCAAAAAAAAAAAGGCTTTTGTTTTGTTTTAGTTACATTAATATTGGACTAATATCCTTTTACAGCCATATCCTACAGTTTTGTTGTCTGAGTGGCGACTGTGGTCCACTACAGTGGACATGCTGCAAAATTAAAAATAAAAACAAATTGTAAAAACTCTAAATTGTAGATTTTTTTTAACCCAAAGGATGTAAGAAATCACAGAAAAAGAGAGAAAAAAAAAATTTTTTTGGGTCTCGGTGGGATATAGCAGTATGCATAGTTTTACATGTAATAAGCAATATACAGGTTGTTAAATAATAATATTAATAATAATGCCAACAACAACAATAGTGACAATAAAAAGCAAAAATTGAAGACTTAATGACAAAGACATACTAAAACAATTAAAAAATAATAAATAAGTAAATAAATATATATGCACATACTGTATACAAATACACACATATAAAACACATTTTCAAACCAAAAACGCAATAAACCAACTCTGTATTTAAGGTTAAGAAAGGGTAAAATTAAGCCACTAAAAAAAATAAATAAATAAAAGAAAAGTAATAGACAAATAGATTAAGATATTCAGTTACTAGAAGCCCAAAGAGGAAACCTTAAATTACTATAAAGAAAAAAAAAAACATATCAAAATAATAAAGAGGGGGAAAATGTAATTAATTAATAAAAAATTATAATAATTAGGGAGCCTGGAACCATAAGTTTTTGCTTGTTGATGTCTCCTTGATTCAAATTAGTAAGCCTTTAGGTTTTTCAGAGTTTGGGCCCAAAGTCTGATGTTGTCCTCTCGTCCACCATGGATGGGAGCAGTTGACATTTTTATAT